ACCCAAGCGGACCAAGCGGACAACACTATGACAGCCCAAAACCGACCAAACAGACAACACCATGACAACCCAAAACCACCCAAACGGACCAAGCGGACAACACTATGACAGCCCAAAACCGACCAAACAGACAACACCATGACAACCCAAAACCACCCAAGCGGACAACACCGTGACAACGAACATCCGACCAAACAGACAACACCATGACAACCCAAAACCACCCAAGCGGACCAAGCGGACAACACTATGACAACCCAAAACCGACCAAGCAGACAACACCATGACAACCCAAAATCGCCCAAGCGGACCAAGCGAACAACACCGTGACAACCCAAAACCGACCAAGCAGACAACACCATGAGAGCCCAAAACCGCCCAAGCGGACAACACCATGACAGCCCAAAACCGACCAAGTAGACAATTTCGTGACAACCCAAAACCACCCAAGCGGACAACACCATGACACCCCAAACGACGAAGCGGACAACACTGTGACAACCCAAAACCGCCCAAGCGGACAACATCGTGACAACCCAAAACCGACCAAGCGGACAAGACCGTGACAACCCAAAACCACCCAAGCGGACCAAGCGGACAACACTATGACAGCCCAAAACCAACCAAGCGGACAACACCGTGACAGCCCAAAACCACCCAAGCGGATCAGGCGAACAAATTGTGATAGCCCAAAACCGACCAAGCAGACAATACCGTGACAGCCCGAAACCGCCTAAGCGGACCAAGCGGACAACACCGTGACAACCCAAAACCGACCAAGCGGACAGCACCGTGACAGCCCAAAACCGCCCAAGCAGACAACACCGTGACAGCCCAAAACCGACCAAGCGGACAACACCATGACAACCCAAAACCACCCAAGCGGACCAAACGGACAATACCACAACAACCCAAAACCGACCAAACAGACAACACCATGACAACCCAAAACCACCAAAGCAGACCAAGCGGACAACACCATAACAACCCAAAACCGACCAAGCAGACAACACCGTGACAACGAACATCCGACCAAACAGACAACACCGTGACAACCCAAAACAAACGGACAACACCATGACGGCCCAAAACCGACCAAGCGGACAGCACCGTGACAACCAAAAACCGCCCAAGCGGACAACACCGTGACAACGAACATCCGACCAAACAGACAACACCGTGACAACCCAAAACAAACGGACAACACCATGACGGCCCAAAACCGACCAAGCGGACAGCACCGTGACAACCAAAAACCGCCCAAGCGGACAACACCGCGACAGCCCAAAGCCGCCCAAGCGGACAACACCGTGACAGCCCAAAACCGACCAAGCGGACAACACCGTGACAGCCCAAAACCGCCCAAGCGGACAACACCGTGACAGCCGAAAACCGACCAAGCGGACAGCACCGTGACAGCCCAAAACCGCCCAAGCGGACCAAGCGGACAACACCGTGACAGCCCAAAACCGACCAAGCGGACAGCACCGTGACAGCCCAAAACCGCCCAAGCGGACAACACCGTGACAGCCCAAAACCGACCAAGCGGACAGCACCGTGACAGCCCAAAACCGCCCAAGCGGACCAAGCGGACAACGCCGTGACAGCCCAAAACCGACCAAGCGGACAACACCGTGACAGCCAAAAACCACCCAAGCGGACCAAGCGGACAACGCCGTGACAGCCCAAGGAAAGCCCAAACCTCAATCCGGACAATTCCTAAAATTCCGGGAATTTTCAGCTCCGGGGAATTCCCAAAATTCCCGGGATTTTTAGACAATAAGCGTTAAAATTCCCGGAATTTTCAGGATCCCCCTGCAAGGCCCTCACAAGCAGCCAAATGGACCGGAAGAGGAGGCGGGGCATCCGACGGGGCGGCCGCAGAGCGAAAATAGGGGTCGAGCCCGTAGCCTTTTATAGGGATATAAGGCAATATATATGTATATCTCTTCGCCTTATTTTCCCTTAAAAGATAAGTCATTTCCCACTTTGACGACAAGTCATTCCAAAAGATCGCGCGAGAAAATTGACCTGCTTATCGAGCAGGCCAATAATAAATAAATGTACACATAAATAAAGATATTGCATGAAGATAAATATGTGTGTATAGATAGATATATATCGAAATATTAGGTATCATAATATAATTATATACGATGCCATAAACATACCCTGCTCAAAAACATATTGTAGTTGCCAATGTTTTGCTGGAAAATCCTTCTGGTGGTATTCGCAAAAAGCCTGTGCCTTTGATGGGAACATCGAGCAATAAATGTTGCTACAATACAACCTCAAAAGGTTATCAGAACCCCAAACCCTCAACCTAAAACCAAAACCCCTGAAGCTCAAACCCCAAGCCCTGTTCACCTTTCTCTGCGCCGTTTATCGCAGTTTATCTGTGAAATCTTTGAAAACGCACGGCTTCCCTTCAGGGACTGGCCATGGTCTGACATATGTCATGCTGGACAACACAGGCTTGCAGACCAGCATTCGCAGGCAGCCACTGCAGCTTCCTGCGTATGCCGAATCACAAGTAGTGAGACTCGAGCCCGCCTGCACTGGCAGCAATTCTTTGACAATGGGTAGTTGTCCCTTGCTCCAACGCCTGCATTAGAAAATCTGGCACCTGCATCTCACGCGCCAGATCAACAGCTCTCCGATTGCGTACATTGCAGACGTGCATCTCCGCCCCGGCAGCGATGAGAGAAGTTGCGGCTTCGTATTGTCCAGACATGATGGCAAGCATCAATGGCGTGGCTCCCCCGCTGTGGTATGCGAGCCTCGCCGGGAACCTCGGTGTCATGCTGGGACTCGTGCAGCATGCGCTGGGACCCTTTTGACCTGCCTTACACGAAAGAGCAAGGAACATCTGCGAGAATCTTCAGGGGTCCGTCTGTACATTAGGGTCCCTTCTTGGGTTCTCTATACATATACATATATTAGTAGTTTATACATGCATGCACACATAACACGGCGTTCTTAGAAAAGACCCAGAAAAGGGACCCTAATTCATAACTGCTCCCTCTGTGGCGTTCAGACTGGGGCTCGGGCGACCGGCTGCCCATGCGATACCGGAGGCTCAAAGCCCCCAAAAAGACTCCCATCAGACTCCAAGAATTCACTGCAAGAGGACTATTCAAGTCTGCCCGCGAGGAAACCAGCAGGTGGATCATCTCGAAGGAGCCTCATGGTCGTGCCCCAACATAACCAAGACCCTGAACCAAAAAAGACCTGTCAGCGAGGATCCTGACGACGCTCACAATGGTGGTGACGACGGCAATGATGCTGACAATCAGGCTGACGATGACGATGATCATGATGGTAGCGATGATGGTCACGGGTGTGATGGCATGGCGATGAAGAGGGTACATGCTGATGATGAAACGATGATCACGGTGACGATGATGCTGATGATGACACATGATCATGCCGACAACAATGATACGCAGGAGAAGATGTTTGTGAACTATGATGATGAGGAAAGCTCTGGACCTACACCCCGTCAGACATGCCGAAGGAAATCCGAGGAACCTCCTTCTATCCAACATGCCCAGCGCAATGCCCTGGTAAGCTGCACAGACGTAGCGCCACTTCCGAGAAGCACCTGAGAGTGGAGTTTTGGCCCCGCAAAATCTTCGCCTTTTGCGTACTGTGTGTACGTTACGTGTTGGGGTGTAAGGGGGGGCCACAGACAAAATATTGGGCTGTGGGATGGGTCTGCTCTTCTTGACTTTGATACGTTTTACTTCGCCGAAGACCAAGACAACCCAATCCTGTTGTTCTTGTTAGGGCCGCGAAACATATGACTTTCTTCAACTTACCAAAGCAAGAACCCTAAACCCTAAACCCCAATGCACAAGGCCCCCCCGCCCCTCATGTTGCAAAAGTCGCCCCAACACCCCAAAAAGTTGTGCAAAGCCCAAAGCCACCTCCATCGCATTTGCCGATGCCACCATACCAACATTCTCCATGACCGTGAAGCCAGCTGCATTTCGTGCCTGACCATTGCAGAGCGAATTGCTTCATGTGCAAGAGAAACTTTCTGCGCTTCTTGTCCTGCCTCTAAACTGCTCTCAGCTAAGCAGGTGGCAGACACAAGCAGCAATGTCGCAAGGTAGGGTACAGCCAAGACGAAGAAGAACAAGAACAACAAGAAGGTGTTCAAGGTGAAGGGTTTGTTGCGGACGGGGAACTCCCCTAAACCATCTATGTATACACCCTGAACCCCGAAAAGCCCTGCCACCTCCCGGGCCACACCCCCTTTCACCTCTCTCCGCCAACTGACGGCCCTGACACAACCCCTAACATTGGGTTGTTTTGGGTTCGAAAACGGCTTTCCGAGACGAGAACGGGGCCCTAAACCCTAAACCCTAAACCCTAAACCGTCTAATTGCAGTTTTCCCCATGTTTGGGCTCAAAGGGGGGTCTGCTCTGGAAATGGTGGTTTTTCGGTTTGGGCAGGAAACCTGCTTGCCCAAACCCTCACCCCTCTGTCCCCTCTCCCCCCGTTTGGGGTTTTGGGTTTTGGGGATGGGGTTTAGGGATTAGGGTTTGGGGTTTGGGGTTTAGGGTTTGGGATTTAGGTTTCGCGTTTGCTGCATGGGGGGCGAAACCCCAAGCCTATGACCCTAAGCCTTAAACCTTGAAACCCATAATTATATTTACCCTCCAAGAGACCAAGTCTAACCCTATAAACGCCAAACCCTAAACCCTTGACCCTGATTGGGGTTTGGGGTTGCGGGTTTGGGTTTAGGGTTTGCTGCATATGGGCAGTGAAACCCCGAACCTAAAAGCCTAAACTATCAACCCTATATGAACTAAACCCTTAATTTATATAAACCCTGAAAGAGACCAGGCCCCGATAAACCTGTTTAGATAAGCCTCAACCCTGACTGGGGTTTAGGGTTTGTGGTTGAGGGTTTAGGGTTTGCTGCGGGAAGGGGGGGGAGGCAGCATTGTAACTGACCATACATTTATAATTGAAAGGCAAGCATCTCGTGCGGTTCTAAACCCACTTGGCAGGGTTGTAACTTGAGTTATCAGCTTTATACATCAGGTGTTATACAACAAAAAGACCTCTACGTAAACTCTATAAGCCCCATAAGGGCCTGAAGGTTGCAGCCTGCAGCCAGAAGGATGCGTAATCCTTCGGTGTTGTCACCGCTCGATGCAGTGATCACCGCTGGTGCAATTCCATCCTGAAGCATGTGGAGAGTTTGGGACAACTTACCAGCTGCGTGCCTCCCTGGAGGCTCCCTCCCAATGGTCCCAGAGATCGTGCAAAAAGAAGGCCTCAGGCATTAGCTGCCAAACCATTCAAGCAGCTACTACCACCTTCAATTTGGTTGCGTCCACACTCTGAGGCTATGGAAAAAACCAGTTGAGGCCTGGTTGAGGCTCCGGCTGTGACCCAGATCACAATAATGTGACTCATACCTAGATAATCAGGTAGCATTGAGGTTCTCAATGAGGATTCCCCGAAACATACACACAGCAGGTGCCTTCCCCAACTACGTGCCCGTTAGGAGTGCCACGTTAGGGTTTTTATTTAGGGCGTTAAATCGGCGTAAATCGGGGCTTAGGGTTTGGGGCAGCTTCCCGGGATGCCTCAAGATCCGCTCTGGCGGCGATCAGCACCTGAGGTTCAGGCCCTCGCTGGGTTTGGCAATTTGGTCACCACTTTAGTTGATTTGGGGTTTAGGGCCTTTTTGGGCTGCAAGAACTGCCAGGACTCGGAGTTCCTCTCTACAGGTGCGCAAGACTGCGCAGCTCATTCTGGCCTGCAGCGCTGCGTTGTTGTGGAAGAAAGCAGCGATGCTGACCGCCGAAGCATTTGAGGGTATGGTCGTATCGGGTTTGTTGGCACGGGTCTTTGTGGAGGGGTCGGCCCTCTTCAAGAGGAGTGCCTGGACCACCTCGGGATCCCCCCCAAGGGCAGCGTAGGACAAGGGCGACCAGCCTGTGCCATCCACTTCATCCACTTGCTGAAAGCCGTTCTGGAACAGGAAGCTCTCTGCAAGGAGCCACTCAGGAAGTGCAGCAGCACCGAGCGTAATGCCCGGAACCAAGTCAGCAGCAGG